TATATTCAAAGAGAAAAGAAATTGTCACCTTGTCGAAACCTTTGTCCTCCAGTCTTTTGCCAAGGACCTCCCCAATGCCTGCAAGAGCCATCACTGACTTCTCACCCATGGGCTCGGCCACAAAATCTCTGTGCTTTTGGGATGTTGATGACATGGCTGTCAAAGATGACCAACAACTGAGATGCAACACAAAAACCATAATCAAAATTAAAATACAGTGAAATCGATGCAACAGAGACAAGGTTTAAATTGCAAACTGCATTAAACACCTTTCCTCTCTTCTTTTTAAGCTGCTGAATCTTTGCTCTTCGTTAAGTGAATATTCATCCCATTAGATAAACACTGTAACAGCTGTAGCAGTTCACACGCAATCATTGGACATGTAGACATAAACTATGACATCTCAGCAGACACCTGATATCTTGTCTGTCGGATCTACTACTCTGAAGCAATCTTCACTTTACTGCTGAAAGCTGTGTTTGTAGGTTTAGGAACATTATCTAACTCTTGTATCATCCTACAGAGTAAATATTACTATCAAGAGGTATAAGTCCTATTGATCACTCAACAGCAAGCTCTCTGGATTTAAATGTATGTAAAGAAGTGTGTTCAAGCTAAAATGGCGTTACGTTTCTCTTTAATACCCACAGTCTCTAAGTTCATCTGTTAAGTTTCCTTTCAAATTCGATGCGCCACCAATACGAAGAATCGAAACACAATGAAAAACAAAGCACCTATTAGTCTGAACCCTAAATGAACACCAGCTAACAGGAGCACTACTGAATACTGCACCGATGGGGTCATCAAGTTTGCCCAAGTAACCAAACACTGCCAGACTTAGACCGCCACATTAGATAACCTACTTGTGTAGGCGCGCGGAACACAGTTTGTTGCTAACAGCTTTAGCACGACTAGTTAGCTACTGTAGCTATCGTTCACTAGCTTTAAGACTGCATTACGATCCATTTACATGTGCGTCGCCCTGCTTGTTAGCAAAGGTGTTTATTATTTTAAAACTTTCGTAATCCCCAATTAGTCCTGGCCATATCATATCTGTGAAGTTAATGCTACGAGGAGAGTAACTAACTAATCGCTCAAAATTTGAGCGCCCTCAAGATAAGTTAACACTGTTGCCGCTTCAATACTGGCTAGCTAACTACTCCTTACAGCTTGTTATCGTGTCACACTACTTTTTTGCTTACGGTTTACTGTAGCTAATTACAAGCATATTATATCTGCGCGTTAATGTACCTCGTAAACAGGCAGAAAATTACCGTAATCAGCTAGGTAGCCGCGATATGAGTTCTATTGCTGTCCAAGCACCGGTGTCGACCACGATGCAACGCGCCCGCCTATTACGTAACCCGACTTCTTCTTCCTCGAGCCTAATGGCGATTGGCAAACAACGAAAAGGCGCTTTACCGCCACTAACTGTATAGGAGTATTGATCAGGACTCTGACTATGCTTCGTCTTCTTCCTATGAAGTTTATTGGCGGTTTGCAAGTCAACATAAGGTACACTACTGCCACCTGCTGGGCTGGAGTGTACTCTGACTACTCTTCCCTAAATCGAATAATTAAACAGGTAAGACAATCATAAATCTTTTCACTAATCATTAATAAAATTGCTTAAATTCTTTATTAGTTTCATTCTTTTTAAATACTGGAATAAAAACAAAGCCATTTGTCTCTAGAACGTCTTTGTAAAATTCTTTTGTGCAGTAGAACAAATATCACCTACTCTATTGTTAAGTCTACTGGTGGATGGAAAACAACAAATTGGTGGAACAATATTCAGTCATTTTAAAAAAGCATATCTTCTCAATTGAATTAGTTGCTCTAAAATACCAAAACAGAAATAAAATCTTCTTTTTTGCAATATATAAGTTAAATCAAAGTTTACCTTTATCTTTACAAGGCTTAGAATTAAGTTTATAATTGGGTATGGTTGTTCATTCCTTCGCAACTTCTACAGCTGCATCATTGAGAGCATCTTGACCAGCTGCATCACTGTCTGGTATGGCAGCACAACCGCTGTGTACCGCAAGCGCCTGCAGAGAGTGGTAAAGACTGCGGAGAAAATCATCAGGACTCCACTGCCCTCTCTGCAGAGCATTTACCACCACAGGGTGCATAGGAAAGCTGCCTCATCCTCAAGGACCCCACCCACCTCTAGCACGGACTGTTTATACCCCTACCCTCAGGTCAGAGGCTCAGGAGTGGGAAATGTCGCCACTAACTGTATAGGAGTATTGATCAGGACTCTGACTATGCTTCGTCTTCTTCTTATGAAGTTTATTGGCGGTTTGCAAGTCAACTTAAGGTTGTGCATATGACAAATAAACACTTTGACCTTTAATGGTTTTTCCCTGATTGTGGACCCACTGGGTAACAGACCAAACATTAATGTATAGTTTCTTCTGATAAAGCCAGTACACCAGCATTGATCTGGCCTTGTGTCATGAATTTGTTACATGCAGTATAAGTTACTAACAAGTTACTTTTCATCTTTTTTTACTTCAAGTTCTTACATACACAGTAGCTACTCAGTCCCACATAACAGCTTATAATCCACACTGTCCATTGTAGAAAGCCTACAGTGACAAGCAATACAGAAAAATCTTCATTCATTCATTTACTCAAACACTAACAGCATGCAGAGGTTGATTCAATTTTCTTTAGAGTGCTGTTTATGTCATAGTTGTGCTTATTATTTAGCTTCCAACTCTTGTTTTTTTTTTTTTTACATTAGCATCCACTTGCCCTTTTGCATCCATCATGGGGAAAGGGATAACGCTTAGAGAGGATGGTAACAGGCTTTGCTAATGCAACTTTGACAGTACCTTAAAGTTTGAAGTTTGGTTTAATGAGCTCTTAATAAGCCTGCAGCTCAGACAAAATAGTGGAAGCCAGTCTGCACAACAGATAGGATAATGGATAAAGTACTAAAAGCTTTAAATGTAAACAGCCAGACAGTGACTCAGCCCCATGAGACTACTTTTAAAACTGATAGCGATGTTATCATTCATTTGTACAAGTGAAAACAGTCCAATGGCAAAGGTGCAAAAACAAACAAAAAGCTGTGTCTCAAATCTCACTCTTCTTCATTCATTCACAATTTTTCTATGCAACAGACACATTTTTCAGGACACTATATTGAGGATAAATTTTACACAGAATAAGGACACTCAAATAAAATGGTAGACAAATACAATGCACCATAATAAATTATTCAGTTTTCAAATTGAGTGATAAAAAATCTTAAAAACAGATACAGTCCCTCTAGTACCTGAAATAGGCAAAACAATCCTTACCTCTTAGATTTCTTGTTCCCAAGTGCCTGCACAATCTGACCAGTCAAATGCCTAAGAAGCAGAGAGAAAATGAATGAGAAGTACACACTTTCACAAAACTTTGAACAGAACTTAATATATAAAACATTAAGCTTTACGTTTGTAAATGTTACA